GCTCGTTTCCTCCGCGGAGCGCGCATCACGTGAGACATACGTCATCCCTTTTTGATGCCTCGTGGCGCCGTTCTCTCGTTCTCCTCCGTGGCGGAGGCGCGGAGGCTTCGTACTCTTGGCATGAGAACTCCGCAAGTGCGCGCGGCGGAGCCGGGGACGGAGTTTCCCCGGTTGTTGACGTCACGAGATCCGTCCGCGGAGTTCTCCTTCGTGTGGATAGCCCTTAAAGGGGTATCCACACGAAGGAGAAATCCGCTCGTTTCCTCCGCGGAGCGCGCATCACGTGAGACATACGTCATCCCTTTTTGATGCCTCGGGGCACCGTTCTCTCGTTCTCCTCCGTGGCGGAGGCGCGGAGGCTTCGTACTCTTGGCATGAGAACTCCGCAAGTGCGCGCGGCGGAGCCGGGGACGGAGTTTCCCCGGTTGTTGCCGTCACGAGATCCGTCCGCGGAGTTCTCCTTCGTGTGGATAGCCCTTAAAGGGGTATCCACACGAAGGAGAAGTCCGCTCCTTTCCTCCGCGGAGCGCGCATCACGTGAGACATACGTCATCCCTTTTTGATGCCTCGGGGCACCGTTCTCTCGTTCTCCTCCGTGGCGGAGGCGCGGAGGCTTCGTACTCTTGGCATGAGAACTCCGCAAGTGCGCGCGGCGGAGCCGGGGACGGAGTTTCCCCGGTTGTTGACGTCACGAGATCCGTCCGCGGAGTTCTCCTTCGTGTGGATACCCCTTTAAAGGGGTTCCACACGAAAAAGAAATCCGCTCCTTTCCTCCGCGGAGCGCGCATCACGTGAGACATACGTCATCCCTTTTCGACGCCTCGGGGCGCCGTTCTCTCGTTCTCCTCCGTGGCGGAGGCGCGGAGGCTTCGTACTCTTGGCATGAGAACTCCGCAAGTGCGCGCGGCGGAGCCGGGGACGGAGTTTCCCCGGTTGTTGACGTCACGAGATCCGTCCGCGGAGTTCTCCTTCGTGTGGATAGCCCTTAAAGGGGTATCCACACGAAGGAGAAGTCCGCTCCTTTCCTCCGCGGAGCGCGCATCACGTGAGACATACGTCATCCCTTTTCGACGCCTCGGGGCGCCGTTCTCTCGTTCTCCTCCGTGGCGGAGGCGCGGAGGCTTCGTACTCTTGGCATGAGAACTCCGCAAGTGCGCGCGGCGGAGCCGGGGACGGAGTTTCCGCGGTTGTTGACGTCACGAGATCCGTCCGCGGAGTTCTCCTTCGTGTGGATAGCCCTTAAAGGGGTATCCACACGAAGGAGAAATCCGCTCCTTTCCTCCGCGGAGCGCGCATCACGTGAGACATACGTCATCCCTTTTCGACGCCTCGGGGCGCCGTTCTCTCGTTCTCCTCCGTGGCGGAGGCGCGGAGGCTTCGTACTCTTGGCACGAGAACTCCGCAAGTGCGCGCGGCGGAGCCGGGGACGGAGTTTCCCCGGTTGTTGACGCCACGAGATCCGTCCGCGGAGTTCTCCTTCGTGTGGATAGCCCTTAAAGGGGTATCCACACGAAGGAGAAATCCGCTCCTTTCCTCCGCGTAGCGCGCATCACGTGAGACATACGTCATCCCTTTTCGACGCCTCGGGGCGCCGTTCTCTCGTTCTCCTCCGTGGCGGAGGCGCGGAGGCTTCGTACTCTTGGCATGAGAACTCCGCAAGTGCGCGCGGCGGAGCCGGGGACGGAGTTTCCGCGGTTGTTGACGTCACGAGATCCGTCCGCGGAGTTCTCCTTCGTGTGGATAGCCCTTAAAGGGGTATCCACACGAAGGAGAAGTCCGCTCCTTTCCTCCGCGGAGCGCGCATCACGTGAGACATACGTCATCCCTTTTTGATGCCTCGTGGCGCCGTTCTCTCGTTCTCCTCCGTGGCGGAGGCGCGGAGGCTTCGTGCTGTCAGCACAAAAGCTCCGCCGGTGCACGCGGCGGAGGTGGGGACGGAGTTTCCCGGGATGTTGACGTCACGACATCCGTCCGCGGAGTTCTCCTTCGTGTGGATACCCCTTTAAAGGCCGCTTCCAACAGCAGCGTTTTTTTACGTTTTCTTACGTCACGTTGAAGTCACCGAAACATTAGTGTGTCGAATGTCGCGTGCCAGGCTATTTCTTCGAACTCCTAGCCATAGGCGTAGACTACGTGGGGGCATCGAGGCTCGTGCCCCCCCCCCTCCCTCCCTCCCCCCCCCCCCCACGCGATAAGATATAGAAACAATAATTAACCCTGTCCTCCGCACAGCTGATGATCCATGCTTGTGTCTGCCTTTCTTGAATCACCTCCCAGGAACCAAATAAATATCTTGGTGGGACAGATACCTTTCTGTTTAATACGATGCTGTGGCATCTTAGTACCTTTTACATTTGGTACATTACTTCGCGAAACGCGAGGCCAGCACGCCAAGCGCACCAGATTCCCGCGTCGTCTGCTCCTCGTGCTGCTAACAAGTACGGGCGCGTCTCGCCAGGGAGAGGAGTGGCGCTGCGTATGCGTGGTGCGCTGCCCAACACGAGCGACACGCGCTTGGCGACCCCAAGATCCTAGTATGACGTCACGACTGGTTGGAGATTTTTGGGCTTTTCTCGCTAGTTACATTTTAGCCAGCCAAGCGCTGCCAAATTCTTTGAAGCGCCGATTGCGTGACGGTGCAGGTCACAAACCACTGTTGCGGCACACAAGAGTGGTTTGAACTGAATGCCGCCATTTTGTTCCAGCGGAACGTGCTTTGTCATTTGTGTTTGTCTTTACTTGTAAAAGAAGTAGCAATGGACTTTAGGTTTACCCGGCGATAGCGGACGTGAAAACATGACCAGGGCCGTTACGATGCACTTTTTTGCTCTGCATGATTCTTGCCAGCGGACTGTAACGGGTACCTCTGTCACGCATAGAGTGAAACGAAAGAAAGAAGAGATGAACCCCCGTTTGCTTTTAGCATTTGATATTGGTTCTCAAGGTATATAGCGACGAAAATGAGTCGGAGTAAACATTCGACTAGAAATCCCGAGACGGAGTAGAGCACGACAAACACAAAATCTCAAACACAGCTTAAATTTAGTTTAAAAAAAAAAACCTTGCTTTGTATGTTTATACAGCCTTGATGTTGGAACGCCTCAACGGGTGACAGGTCGCTTAGCTGTGGATGACAAATTTAGCCAGTGCAGTACAACCGCCAACCTGGTGTTTTTAACGTGTATCCCGTAGTCGTGATTACACGAACTTATCCAGATCAAAACGTACGAAGGCGGTGGGGATTGAACCCACGTGCTTCTCAACGCAAGCTTTCACTCAACGCTCCGAGAGGAGAGGCGTTAGCTCACTCGGCCACCGATTCGCCCCTGAAATTCATTCGACAACGTAAACAACCTTTACAATAGAATTGAGAAGCAGTGACCTCCGTTAAACAACACAAAAAATAAAAAAAAATAAAAAAAATCTATAACTGTTGACAACGGCAGTCCCCAGAAAAAAAAAAAGATCCCCAAAAGAAAGACGTTTTAAGGATCACTCAAAACGTACACTTTTCTGGCGAAAGCCGGAACTCTAGACAAGGAAGGACACAACGAACCAAACGACCATGAGCCTAACAAACAGCGAACTGAGCGAACTGATCCCGATAAAACTTGAACTCGGATAAATGCAACAAGACCTCCAAGGCCGTAACGAAACAATTGGCCTAACGCGCCAAGGCATCAAATTCGAAAGAACCTTCCCTGTCCTGTACCCAAGGTGAGGGATGGCTGTACGCCAAAGTGAGGCGAGAGAGATCCTCCAAGGTAAGTTCGAATGCCCACTATACTCGCGTTTCCAACCGTTTTTGGCGCATGCTCGATTGTCCCCACCAGATTGGAGTGTCGGCTCACTGAGTTTAGGGATTACGTATCAAAACGTTCTCAGCTCGGCGGTGTTAATTAGGTGAAATTATCAACCAACTCTTCTTTCAATCATCTTCCTGCGGTCAGACCTATACTGGCCTGTTCAACTGACGACAGGTTACCTCAATCGACCTTGGATTATGGCAAAAACATTAATAAGGCTGGGAACGCGAACATGTGCCATGCAGCTGGTGCTACCGCAGCGCTGTATCTCAAATATATATCCTCCAACTTCCACCGGATAAGAAATGAATGTCGGTATAGCATAGCGACGTATTAGCAGAGTTGCGTAACTCAATGTAGAAGGCAATACCTTCTTAGAAAGAAAATATCTATGCGATCAGATTAATAAAAAATGACTTAAGAAACAGGAAGAGGTAGTGCAAAACTTGTCATTACCAAGATTTCAATAACGCTATGTTTGCGGTTACGGTACTTTTCTACTCGCATTACGAAGTTATTTCGACGTGTTTGTGATTACAAGATTACAGCTTGCACAGTGGAGTAAGCGCAAGTTTGCGTATAAGGCAATGTAACAGGTATGAGAGGCCCTGTTATCAGTCAGCTTAGTAAATTCGAAGTTCAGCGGACATGTGCTCTGCAAGAACGTTAATGTGTTGATAACCCTTATATTTAATGAAAAATGCCGTTGAGGGCGACGCTGGGTCAACCTAAGTATATGGTAGAGCACTTCCCGTGCTTTCCCGTCTCGGAAAGTATGCAATCATCCCTCTGGTTCCTCCCACGTAAAACTCGCAAAAAAAAAAGTTTAAGAAGTTAAGTTATTTATTTACAATACACTACATACCATCCCAGACCAAGGCCGTATAGGGCAATGACAGGGAATAATTATAATTTCCGTGGTGTGCCACTGACAGGATGGAAGAAACAAAAGTGCATGGTGTGCCACCGAACAAATCACAGACACTACTGCTAAATCCCCATACATAGCGAAACAGCGTGCGAGCAATCACCATGCTGACCCTATCGGCCATGAAACAATGCACTATGCCCAAAAAGGAAATGAACAGTTACACCACATGTTCTACATCAGTATCCGAACATCCGACTTTATTTTTGCATGACATATAACCAAATCTGAAAGGTACACAAATTTGTTTAAATCCTGCTCATCTGATAATGCTTCACGGTAATAAACAAAGACGCAAATGATGTAGTCACAAGTTCGACATGTTCGCTGCAATGCGCGCAAGAACGAAGACGTCAGATGCCGTCCTTCAGGCTCCTACAAGCGGTTGACAGGCCACCGCCAGAAGTCTTACTGGTGGAAACACGTTGAACTTGGCTTGACACAAACCATTTACCTGGAAAGTAGAGGGAAACAAATATATAAGTTAAAAATATACTTCATTTAACCTTCAGTCTAGAGCCACTATATGAGCTACGCTTAGAGTATCGGCACTTCATTCCGCTATCTGTTGGTGGGCGCCCCCATCTTGATGCTTAGTGCAGAGCTGGCGCAACTGTCGATCATCACAATTCAAAAATTTAACTTCCTCAGCTTTAGATACGGCGTTAGGAAGCTCAGGTGACATTGTTTTTGTCTGTCGCGAACTGTATTAACATTTCCAGAAGACGGAAGAGTACTTCCTGCGATTTCAGATAAGCTTCAGATAAGTGGCAACCATGATTGTAAGCCCGAAGAAGGCTGAAGTGTCGTCGCTCTGAAGCGTAGCTTTTTTAGTGGCTTCACTTAGTCCAGACACGACGCCACGAGCTGGTGGGAGTAATCAGACGGCGTCAAAAACGCACCATCATGCACAGTGTTCATCATTTTTTGTATTCGTGTTCCATCATCGCTGAACAAGTCATAAACAGAAATATTACCCACTGACTCGTGCTTTTGACGCGGCCTGATTGGTCAGATTAGCTCGTAGCGTCGGCTGTGTCCATGGACTTAAGCTCAAACGAAGCATACGTTATTTTTGGTCAACGAATATGCACACCGAAAAGCTACTCCCAAAACACGCAGTAAAGATTTGTTTGAAGTGAATTCGTTAAAACCAACAAACCTCGATTTCATTTTTGCCGACATAGCAATGTTAAACTTTTGTTGAACAAAGCCATTCGTGAGCAAGCCGCTGGAAATTTTTTTATCCCTTTTTTTCAGTATTCCTGCGATATGACTATTACCAGGATTTCAGTGTTTTCAAACAATGGCTCACATTTTGTTTGTTTTGTTTTTCTTGTAATACCGGAAACGCTGTTATTGGTTTTCGGCACTCACTTTTGCCCCTATCTGTACCGATAAACATGCCCGTACTCAAATTAAATGCAGTATATCAAATAAACTCCGTAAGGCATATATATCTTATCAGCGGCTGTGCCTATGCTTTCCTAAGATAATGTAGCATCTTATTAAGGTATCGGAAGAAAACTATGATGTCAACAATTAATCAATTTATGAAGATATCATAAAAACAATGATAAGACCAATTCATCAACTTTATGTTATACTTATCAAGATATACTTATTACGATAAGAAAAGAAAATTATTACGAAGATAAAATGATACATGAAATTATCGTCTATTGAGAAGGACCTTGCTCCTGCGCGCGTACCTTCTGTAACATAAATTTCGCATCACCGGGTTTTTTTGTTGTTTTACTCACCGGGAAGACCACGTAGTAATGACTATTTTACTGTGTGGTGACGTTACGCACGTGCAAGCTATAGGTGGAACAAAGAACAACGTCTTGAATTAACAAAATCAAATACCAGGCATTGACAAGCGGCAGTCATCGAATGCACAATGAGCAGACGCGAAATGGGCGCTTTTCTGCCTCAAGGGCCGCCCACACTAGCGAGAAAACGCGCGTGGCACGCCGATCGCGGCAAGTAACAAAATGTCGCCGAAGCACAGTCAGCGCCACGAGCGCGTGCAGAGACACGCCCTTTATCTTGCCGCTTAACCGATTTATCGGCGCGCCGGGCGCGTTTTCTCGCTAGTGTGGGCGGCCCTTCACTCGGAGAGAATATTGCCGCGCGCAATGCTGAGAAAGCAACGCTCGGTCGCGGTCCTCCAGAAAGCTCCCGTTTATTCATGTACCGCCCGTAACTTCTATCATTTATCCTGCTTTTGTTTTCTAGAAAGTACGTGTTCATTCTCGCCCCGATCACGCGACGCTCGAACCGCTTTCGCCGAATCTTCGAGATAGCGACGCACTCTAGATAAGAGGCCGCCCGCGACCTTGTCGAGTCAGTCTCGCCCCAGCGCTCGATTCTGCTGACACGCCGACTTCGACGCCCGCGACGCTCTGCTTTCTTCTGTTTCCTTCCTTATTTTTGGCACAAGTTCGCCACATTAAACGTTTATTTATTTCTGTTTATTTCTTGTTTATTTGTCACGAATCACCACCCGTGACATTCTGGTGGAGGTGCGGGGTAACGCATGCCCCTGCCGCGTACCCCTCCGAGGTCCCGCAGTACAAGTCCGGACCCAGCCTCCCGAGGACCCGACGAAGACCAGATCGAGACCCGGTCAAGTCGCCGCATCCGAGGTCTACCCCCGGAACACGAACTTCTGCCGCCCAGGACCAAGCAGTCAACAAAGCCGACGATGGCCAACCAGTCGCCGACGCCCGCCGCTCCTGCCATCGTCTACTTGCCCGCCGCTCCCCGTATGCCGACACCCTTCCACGGCGAGATCCACGAGGATGTCGAAGACTGGATCAAGCACTACGAGCGTGTGGCGCGCCACAACGGATGGACTGCGGAGCAGTGCCTCCAGAACCTCTACTTTTCGCTGGAGGGTACTGCGAGGCATTGGTTCGAGAATCACGAGGCTTCGCTTACGTCGTGGGACATCTGTGTGGCCGAGTTGCAGCGGACGTTCGCCAGCCTACACCGACGGGAGAAGGCAGAAGATCTCCTCCGAATTCGAACGCAGGGCCCCGACGAAAGCGTCACAAGCTTCGTAGAAGATGTCCTCCGCCTGAGCGCCCGTGCCGACCCACGAGCCACAGACGACAAGAAGCTGCGGGTCCTCATGCGCGGGGTGAGAGACGACATCTTTGGAGGCCTCGTGCGCAACCCGCCGGGCACCATCGAAGCCTTCGTCACCGAGGCGACAAACATCGAGCGCGCCCTCCAAGCGCGCGCTTCCCACTACCAGCGACATCCAAGTCCAAGTGTCGCTGCAACCGCGCTGCTTGGCGGCGAGAACGCTCCTGGTACGGACATCCGCGAAATTATCCGGGAGGTCGTCCGGGAGGAACTCCGCCAGTTGCTGCCAGCTGCAAGTCGTCCAGCGACACTCTCCATTGCCGAGGCTGTGCGCGAAGAAGTGCATCGGGCGCTCCAACCAGAGGTTCCCGTCACCACGGTGGCACCGGAGGAACCGATGTTGAGCTACGCCGCAATGGCCCGACGACCGCCGCAAGCCCCCCGCCAAGCCACGTCGCTGCCCCGAAGAGACGCCCCAACGCCGCATTACCCCCGACGACAGGAAGATCAAGCGCACGTTCACCCAGACCGACCTGCGCCGAGGAAGACAGACGTCTGGAGGACGGCCGACCGACGCCCGCTGTGTTACCACTGCGGGGAAGCTGACCATGTGTACCGCCGATGCCCATACCGACGACTCGGGCTGCGCGGATTCCACCCAAGCGACCCGCGTCCCAGGTATGGTGAACGCCCTCGGGAGATCGACGAGTACTTGCGACGACCCCAGTCCCCCGAGCCTGCGTCCCGCCGAGAGTTTCGATCGCCTTCACCACGACGTCCAGCTTCGCCGATGCACCGACCCCGACGTGAAAGCCTGTCGCCCCTTGCTCCACGCCGGGGAAACTAGGCGCGGCAACCCCTGGAGGTGGAGTTGCCGAAGACGACCGACGCCAAGATCCTCCACGAACGTCGGAGGGCCCCCACTCGAACGCTACCGGAGACCGAAACGACGCTCCTGAAACGGTGTCCAACAACCTAAACGTCATCATCGACGGCCACGACGCATCGGCACTCGTGGACACCGGAGCAGACTACTCAGTTTTGAGTGGGAGGCTCTCCCGCCGCCTTCGAAAAGTCACGACGCCGTGGGATGGACCTCAAATACGAACCGCCGGTGGGCACCTCATCACACCAATCGGGCGATGCACCGCTCGCGTCGAGATCCACGGTGAGACGTGCCCTGTAAAGTTCGTCGTTCTGCAAGACTATTCGAGGGACGTTATCCTCGGAATGGACTTCCTCTGCGAGTATGGCGCCGTCATCGACCTCGGCGCAAACCGGTTGACGCTGCGAAAGCCTGTTTCACCACCGGAGGAACCCAAAGCGACGTCATCTGCGGTCCGAGTCCTCGCCAGCCACGTTAACTTACCGCCGCGGTCGAGTGTTTTCGTACCCGTCGGGATCACCGAAGATTTCTGCGGCGAAGTTCTGCTCGAAGGAAGCCTCCAGTTGCTTCTGGGAAGAGGAATAGGCGTCGCAAGAGGAGTTGCTGAACTTCAGGATGGCCGCACTGTGGTCCTCGTCACGAACTTCCGAAACGAAGCGCAACACCTCACAAAAGGTGCAGCCGTGGGCCAGGTTGAGGAACTCCAAAACTCCGCCGCTGTCGCCGCCATTACTGACGAATTCTCGCCACCTCAGCAAGACAGTGCGTCGCCAGCGCAGCTCGACATTGACCCTAAACTCCCGGGCCCGAAACGACGACAGTTGATTAACCTTCTCGCCGAATACCGCGACTCCTTTGCCACGTCGTCGAAGGTGCGCCAAACCACCGTTGCGAAGCACCGCATCGTTACCGAGGACGACGCGCGCCCTGTGCATCGATCGCCATACAGAGTCTCCGTTAAGGAAAGGCAGGCGATCCAGGAGCAAGTTCAAGAAATGCTGAACGACGACATAATTCAACCTTCAAGCAGTCCTTGGGCCTCTCCAGTCGTACTGGTTAAGAAGAAAGACGGGACGCTTAGGTTCTGTGTAGACTACCGGCAGCTGAACACGGTGACGAAGAAAGACGTCTACCCACTCCCCCGCATCGACGACACTCTAGACCGGCTGCGCCACTCTCGATATTTCTCATCGATGGACCTGAAGAGCGGCTACTGGCAGATCGAAGTCGACGAAAGGGACCGAGAAAAGACAGCCTTCGTCACGCCGGATGGACTGTACGAGTTCAAAGTGATGCCCTTCGGACTGTGCACGGCGCCAGCAACTTTCCAACGTGTCATGGACACCGTACTGGCAGGACTGAAGTGGCAGAGCTGTCTCGTCTACCTCGACGACGTCGTCGTGTTTTCCAGCGACTTCGACGAGCACTTGCGACGACTCCGAGCAGTTCTCCAAGCCATACGGACCGCCGGA